ACAACGTAGAACTTCGTCCTTACCTAGTACATCAGTTCAAGTCACCACACCACATTAAGTCCCATACGCGAGAGGTAGTAGCAGTATTAACAGTGATGGAATAGATTAGGGTTCAAAATATGGTTTAAGAAGTTTAACCCATTTAAATAAATTTAAAGAGAGAAAAAGTCATAAGGAATTCAGAAGATTAGAATTTGGACAGACTTATAGTCCTTATACAGATAGAATATTCAGAAGATGAATACAAGTGACATATTCACTAGGTGAACTTATATCATTATGTGAAGAAATAAATTATAGAAAAGTTCAATCATTCAACCGATCAACATCAACGCAGAACTTCGTACGTACGTACATCAGTTCAAGTTGCCATAATGTATTAGCACAGAGATGCAATCGTCACTGCATATCCCATAGTAGTAGAGAAATTAGAACTATTAGCAGTAAATTTGATAGTTTGACGATAATATTCAAGAAGTACAATCTGGCGAAATAAACTTGAAACCAAAATATAAAAAGGATGAGGAATTCAGAAGGTTAGAATTTGAGAGAACACAAAGAATGAATGTACCTACACCACTACAAACGGTTTTGAGTCATCTCGTTCAAGGTCCCTAATCATCGGTGACTTTCGTCTCGCAGACCCCAACCAGGTAGCCTGCATCTACCAACATGACTCAGTCCACTTGTCAGTGACTTGATGTATTTGTGCCATGATTTGGTCTCTCCGCCCCTTACTTTCTACCAGCCTCAACCTACACCACAAATCATTGCTCGACGAGGCAGTCGGTGGTTAGGCATACGTAACACATGTCCCAACAACCTCAACTGATGAAGTTTCAATACTTCATCCTTGCCTAGTACTCGTTTCCTAACTATAGCATTGCTTACTCAATTGTCCCAGGATATACCAGCAATCCTTCTAAAACACCTGTAATCGAATACTGGTAACCTACGAATGTCCTCAACTCTTACGGGCCATGTTTTGCATCCATATAGTTGTACAGACCGAACTGTCGGGCAGTAGACTCGTCTTTTGGGCGTTAAAGGGTATCTCGCCTACACCATAAATGACGCAGGTTGGCAAAATCCAATCGAGCCTTCTGTATCCGTGCTGAGATTTCGTCAGTCATCAGGCCACTGGCACTTATGAGACTGGCGAGATAAGTAAAGCACTCAACTACTTCATTCCCTATCACTAGTTTAGGTACCGATAGAAGAGTTCATTATTTTTGAAGTCGGTTAATACATTCTGGTCTCAAATTCAAATCATTACGTATACAGATCAACATTGAATGAGACGATTTATCATGACTACGATTTTCTACATCCACTGGATACAAACAAAGCGCATCTTAAAGTTGAAATTTCTGTTACTAATTGATCTAGACAGGAAGCTCATTGAAGACAATAAAGTTGCCCTCTCATGTCAATTGTCTTTCCTTTATACACCCTTTCACAGCTTTATACAAACATTTATTGCCTTGTGATTTCAATAAATGATAATAAAACCGCAATAATTTATGTTGAAGCAATTCACTAGTTACTAATTATAACTTTTATGGAATTGTTTAGTGGAGATAATTATTTACTGATTTTTATGTTTGAATTTGCATTATTTAACAACGATGTTTCGTTCGCTCATGAGGCCTCATGAAGATATTCTTACGTGGTTCATAGTTAATTGACTCAGCGGCCTAAATCTACACATATTTCATAGTTATCGCTTTCAATCTATCTAAGGGTGAGATATAACCCTTTATCCTGCTTAGCAGTGTACTCTTCCTCGCGCTACAAAACAGAGCTTTTAAATAAGTTTAATAATGATGAATAATAACTTCAGAGAGTTAACATCCTAAATTGGTGAGTAACTTACAAAGAGAAAACTTAATTTAATTGAAAGACAGACCATTCTGTAAAGCACCGTTATTCATCCTTGGGCAAGCGATTTAACAATTAAAACCAATTCTCTTCCCGGAAAGAGTGGCTGAGTCAATTCAAATATTAATATTTTTAATTATTATTAACGTAATTTTTCTTATTTTACAGCTCAGTGTTAACATTACGAGCATTTTAACCTTCCAAATATACCTAATTTCCACGTTTGGCAGTATACCTTTAACCTATACACGAAAGAAACCCATGCATGCTGTACATCCGGCCTCCTTTCTAAGTCCACTTTATCATGATGTCACTTCTGGTGTAAACAAAAATAAACTTAAGGTTTTTGCATATAATAATTATTACTTTGCATTCTATTAAGCGCTTATTTCGGGCTCTCAATATGACACACAAATGTGCTCAATTAATTCCGTAAAACGAATTGGAGATTTTTAGAATTTCCAAGTTAGTATATGAACCTAAATACTTCCATTAGTAAACCTCTCTTAAGTGGTTCAAAAACCCTCAACAACCTTTATGTGACGTAAATACGACTAGCTATAAAAAGGAACTGTCATGGCACTTGTCACTGACATGATCGTGAAATGCAAATCACTTCAATGATGAAAGCTTAGGTCTACATACTTATTTCATTCGAGCCCTAACAGTCAGCTAACCTAGAATAGCCTGAAAAACTAAATGCATTCACAAGTAAAGAAACAGAGCATGAGCATGCCTACTAGCTGATAACAGATAGCAACGAATTTATTATATATACCTAACAATATG